GATAACGAGGTAAGTAAGGATATGGGACGATAGTTAGTAACGAGTTGATTATCACCTTTCTTAAAGAGGGGTATGACCTTGGCGATTTTCATTTGATTAGGTACCCGACCTGTATGAAGTGAAATATTAAAGATATGCACCAAGGGATGAACAACAGCTCTGATAATTTTCTTTAATAAGAAGTTGGGAATACAGTCAAACCCGGCGCTCTTCTTAATCAGAAGATTGTTAACAATGTTTATAATTTCTCGAGTGTTTGTAGGATTAAAAAAGATGGAATTTTGGTTAGGGTTGACAAGAAAATCGTTAAATGATTTGGTACTCTGTGGCACTTGTTGTGCCAGTTTGTTACCCACTTGTGAAAAGTACGAGTTAAAATTTTCAGCGATTGTATCAGCATCATCGGTGATAGTATTATTGGTTTTGATTTTTGTTATTGTTGATCCTTTTTTCTTCTTATTTAATACACCATTAATGATTTTCCATGTATTCTTCATATCATTTTTGTACAAATTGAGTTGTGAAGTATAGTATTCTTTTTTGAAATACGTAATAAAGTGGTAAGGGTGTTTTTATATAATGTGTACTTAGAGCGAGATTCGTCACTTGGTTTTGTAATATATTTATAATACAAGTTATTCTTGCGGTTGATAGATCTTAAAAGCGATTTTGTAATCCAAGGATGAATTGGGATCTTTTTATAGTTTGATCTCCGGTGGGTGGTGAGGGGAACATGAGTATTTAAAGACGCTGTAAGCTTATTGATAAAGAAGTCGTACGATTCATCAACATCTAATGAATCAAAAACGTTCGAACAGTCTATTAAGTCTAAATCACTGATTAAATTAGTAATATTATCATCAGTTATTTTGCGATATGGAGTAGTGATCGTCGCTTTTTTGACAAGTTTATTTATACACAACTTAGCAAAAACTGGAAAATGATCAGAAATGTCATTTAGGATGATACCGGCTTTGGGGATGGGGTAGGTTATATTGCTAAATATATTATCAATAATAGTAGCTGAATTTTTTGTCACTCTTGTGGGTTTAGTGATAAGTGGTAAGAAAGAATTGGATAAAAAAAAGTTTCGAGAAACTCTTGCGAAACGTTGTTAATGTTGCAATTCATTAAGTTAATGTTGAAGTCACCCATAATACAGCAATCTTTGTTTTTCAACAGAGGATCTAGCAGAAGGTCATTAAGAGTTCTTAGAAAATTTTGAGTATTTGATTGAGGAGGTCTGTATAAAACGCCTACAATTAAGTTTTTTCCACTTGGGTTGTTAATTTCAACAAAAAGGGATTCTAAAACATCAATCCAAACAAATAGGATGAGACGAATGATCCAATGGTGACGGAGGGGGAGGGGGTGGAAACCAATAAAAGGGCACTTACTGGGGGGGGGGGGGCACGCACCTGCAAAGTGTAACCTCAAAGAAAAAAAATTGTTAAACATTTTTATATACCCCTATTACACTATCAGGGATGACTTTCTCTTTACGTGGTCCAAGAAACTGTTTCACCACCATGCTTTGCAGGTTAGTGTGATGTTCTGTAATAGAGCGAAGCGACCTAGCCAAACAAAAGTTATGAGGTCGCAACGACCGATTAGATCTTGGTATCAGATGAATTTACCAATCCTGATTGGGTTTTAAGCACAAACTCATGATGAAAGAATGAATACGATCTTTAATATATTATTTAATAAGATGAATTATAAATTACTCTCAGTCTTTTAAAAAGGACACGTGTACGGGAGGCGATGGGGAATATATTGTTTCGGGGATATGAGGGGTCATAAAAAAATATTGTCATATCACGTATGGTAATCATATTTCTTTTAAACATAATATGAATGGTATTTGGTAATGTAAATGCAGTAACCTTTGGGGTAGAAAACTCTGCCATTTTGTAAAACCATCCACATTCTTCAACACTGTCTTTGATTGTGGAGGTAGACATAGGGTATCTGTTATTCCACAAAGCTGATCCGACTTTTTAAACTAGATGTCGCTGCGAAAGGACACACTCTGTAAGGAGCTTTGATAAATGGGTAACAAGTTTCACTTTGTCAAAGCGCCCAGTAATCTCTTCATTTTTGTCTTTTTTCTTCTTCTTTTTTTCTTATTTATGCTTATACTGTAATAATCTTTCTTTCATTTTTTCTTCAAATCATAGAAACTCCCAGTAAAACTATTTGTGGTATAGAGGGATTGAAATTATTTTGCATCCAAACTTTTCCGTTGAACTGTCGAAATGATAAGTTGTCATCCCTAAAAGCGGAATCGCATAAAAAAGAACATTAGACAAGATTGACACAGAACAGGTAATTACCACCTAGGTCATAAGATAAGAGGAAAACTTCCGATATCCTGGTTTCACATACCTCCTGGTGATTTTATTTTAAAGGGACAAGGAATTAATAAAACAAACTATCTCACAGAACAAGTACGTATATTCTCATGTAAAATAGAAAAGGTTTAAATTGTTTATATTCCCTAGTGAATACTATCTTACCAGTGACAGGACAAGGGGAAGGACAGGGTCCTGTGGGAATGAATCTTTAGGGGGTCACCTTAGGAGCACAAATGACGTCCAAAAATGCCAGGTCAAATGAAAACAGACAATACAAAACAAAAATTAAGCAAACAAAATGTGAAAATTATCAACTCGGTTTGGGGGAGGGGGGGGGGGGGGGCTGTGTATCGCCTTGAAGAAAAAAATACCCCTTTACCTCCGGCTCTCAGGCCCACGAGAAGAATGTGGAATGAATGACTCTGTGAGACCCCAGCTCTTATCACGGTCACTACATGACTGCGAGCCACAATCTTTTGGTACAAGAAAGAGAAAAGAAAAACAAAGGTAAATTGCTTGAACACATGAATCTATCATTATTCCTAACGATATGGATATTAAAATAAAAAGTTGAACCAGAGGGATTTCGAATTAGACAGGCCGACTTAATTAGTCTCGTCATGGTCAAGGAATCCACTCAAGGAAACCAGTCTGCACGCACAGACACTGATTTGACACTTAAACACAAATCCTAAAGCATTGAGCAGAGTCTAGCTTTATCAGTCTGTATGCCCTCAGCCTAGTCTCATTGTGCAGACACTGTTACGCACAGCGACTATCAGGACACTATCAGGAAATGTGTCTAGTACAAGTAGGCCTGTAGCAAAGATAGTATACTTTGTTTGCGAGATCATGTTTGGGGACTTTCCCCCTATTTTCACAAAGTAGGCCCAAGCCGAATACGAGGTCTGTGTTATTTCCTGTTTTCTTGTCACTCTTACGATCTTTCCTACCTCATCCGGGTAATAATGCTGATCCTGTTGCTGGCTTACTCTAGCTAGGGTGAGAGTCAAGAGCAAGGGACGAATGCTTTCACTATTTTTCATGTCACTTTACTGCACAGTTATCAATATTCATGTAATAAAAGTAAAACTAACATGTAATTCCAGATGATGAAAACAATCATTTCATGCATATAATTTTAATTGTGGGTTTGGGGGGTTGTTTTTAAAGACCAAATCTCCTATTGAGTATCTACATTTGTTATGTCTTGATAAAAGTGGCACATCACCTTATTCGCCTTCGTGACGATTTCAAAGGTCTAGTTCTAATATTGTTATCCTTTTTGAATAAATTGATACTAATTATGGGTGTCGTGTTCCTCTCTCTATATATATAAAATGTCATCAACCACTTTCCTTCATATTTCTTATAAATTTTTCTCTTAATTGCGTTTATTGAATACCAGCCTAGACCAAAGGGTATCTACCCAGGGAATTGTATCGAAATTGGGGAGATTTTGTGGGCGCCTTCGTTTCGTCACTTTTGTGATGATGGTCTGGCTGGTATTCAATAAACACAATCAAGCAAAAAATGAACAAAATTGCTAAAATTCCTCTTCAACCAAATTTGCTTCATTGCAAGACGTTCGGTTCGGCAAGAGAGAACCTGGGAGCAAATTAGGGACTTCGCAGTTCTAAAATCTAGACTATATAGTGCAGATGATGTAGCCTGCAGAGCGGGGCTTAGCGGTACAATCGGGGGGGGGGGGGGGTTACCATGTCGCTTGTTGGCAAAATAACAAAATATAATGTATCAAGAACACAGTAAGATGATGCAATGAATTGTTATACAAACTTCTAGCAATGGTCCGAATTATGGAGGAAAACAAAACGCTTAATGTACAGTTATGAAAAAAGCATGCCAACTTTAATGCTTTATATATACTTTTACAATTTACCTTTTGCAATGACGCCTTTCAAGATTCTTGTATTGCCTTAATTTACCAACACAACTTCAACATATACCAAAAAATGGTATTGACAAAGAAAGCTCCCTTTCTCATATTTTTACATTATTTCTTCCTTTTGGTACTTTTTATTTTAACGGAACTTGAGTAATCTGTCCCAAAGTCATTTTATCCGTGAGAAAGAAAGTCACGACTGCAATGATTTTGTAAGTTCTGGATGTTTACACCAATCGGTTATCTTTTATGAGAAAGAAAAATAATCTCTAGATGATCTTTTTACCCTATACTGGACATTCTGACATGGGGACACCATTCACCATTTAGCTTCACTCAGCTTATCGTTTTCACTTATTCATTTAAAAATGTTGGATTGACCCTTTAATCAACATGCCATTGCAATTGACCGATCCGAACAGTTCATTGCCTCATGCTGTGGGAGGTCACGGGTCTGTACTTAGTACGGCCATCCAATCAGAAGGGATGAAGCGATTACCCTCCCACTTTGTGGTTAACTTGTGCACGACTTACCGATCTACAATATACCACACAAGAATATACGCTCGTCATCCAATCAGAGACTTCATTCTTGATCACTTTCGTCGCTATTGTCCATTCAGGATATCAAACGAGGAGCATTATGACCAATCAGAACTTTCTATAACCGCCACGTGTATGCTTTTTTTTTTTTTTTAATGTCAGTTATCAAATGACATCATTTTGGCTCAGTTCCAGGTTAACCACTCTTAACTTTTGCAATGATCTTCTTCAATAATCATCTAAATTTCTGGCGAGAAAAAGAGTATATAAGATCGAGCAACTCACAACCATTTCAATAGCTGCTGGTTGTTATTCATCTTACGACCATCTGCTTCAATAGTTCTCAAGATCTCCTCTGTCGTTTTTTTGGACCATCGCAGACTTATACAACCGGTGAGTAAATCAGTTCAGTTTATATTAAATCATAAAGTTTTATTTCTTCACTATTTGACAGATTTCCTTGAATTTCATATCCTTTTCTGTTTAATCATAATGTATAGGCTATATATCTTTTATCAAATTTTCATGGTCGAGTGGATCGAGGACTCCGCTCTCAATCAGAGGGTCCGAGGTTCGAGCCTCAGGCATGTCCGTCAGCGAGGCATTTTATCTACTTTGATGCCTTTTTTTTAACCTTTAGAGGAATAGTTGGATGCGAAAAGTTGGGAGCGGATTTGTCATGGCAATGGCGTATCCCCACTGGGAGTGGAGATGGTGCACACATTGTGTGTAGGTTTTCACCTCTTCTTTCATCCCCTCTGCATTTCTTATTCCTATTTCCCGTACCATATACATGTACATATTTTGTTCGTTATTGTGTTGTTTCCCCCTATAACAACAATTACACATTTTAGCGGGTTGATAATGTTAACTTGAGTAAGAGACCCTGCCGCAACAAGCTATTGCTTTTGATAAGGTTCTGTTTTTATGTTCTATTCTCACATAGGCTAATTTATAGTGCATTGTCCGATTTTCGAGGATATAGAAGTTGATTTTGTCAGTTGAATCCTGTACATTTTGTCTTGTATTGATTTAAGAATGTATCCTTATTTGAGCAAGTGTCAGCCAATATTTGGTTAAGCATTAATCAATATTGGGGGCAGATTTTGGCAATATCCTACAGCCAATACCCATAATATCACGCTTAATAATCATTTTATGGAATAATCAAATAACATGTATTCGATTATTTTGGCCTCCTTCTCTCTATCTCCCTCTCTCTATCGATTTTCATTCCTCTTCCTCTCTTCTCCCTTACATTCTCTCTCCTGTTTTACTTTTTTTTTTATCCTTTACCTCTCTCTTTCCTTTCCTCTTCCTTACCCCATCTCTCTTCCTTCCTCTCTCTGTATCTCTTTCTTCATGGCAGGGTAGAAATGGGTCGTTTCACAGCGGTCGCGCTTCTCCTTGCTCAGCTGATTGCCATCTCACTTGCGTGTTCCAGTGGTGGTGGCGGTGGTGGTGGTTCCAACATCCCCCGCTCTAACTCCGGTCGCCCTTTTGGTGTAGACCTATCCCGCAACACGGAAATGTACCCGGACTACAACTCGCGATATGGCACCGTTGGTCTCGGGCTTGAACATCGGTACGTCACGTGACACATTATAATTGTCTTCTGTTCCTGACCTCTCTCTCTCTCCCTTTCCATTACTCTCACCCTTTTTACTCCAATTATTAAAGTGCCATATATTTTTATTTGGGCAATCATGGTGTGCTGCAATTCTCAATCTTATACCTTTAACAGCAAAACCTCCGCATCGCTCGCACCCTTCCACCATGCTTACACGAACCATTTAATTACATTTTAAATGAATTGGGGTATCCACGGTACCCCCTGTTCCTCTTCCATTTGATTCTACCTGACTTATGAGCCCCTCCCCCACTCCCGTCAAAACAGGAACAGCCTCCTGATCACCCTTCAAAACTAGCACCTCTCCACAACGCTTCATTGCTTACTTTGATCGTCTATGGACGTCTCATAATTCTCCTGTCGCTAAACTTTTAAGAATGTTTGTTTTCTTTTTAATGTAAAATAATATGTGGAATAATTGGAATCTATAGACGGTTTTTGCTAGTGCCCTTCTTACAGATGCTAAGGGGAAACGAGTTAATGGTAGTAGAATAGCTCTCATTAAATTTGCACATCCTCCACAATTTCCATAACAATTCTATGTATACAAGCCGTTTTGCATTAAAATAATCCTGGTCGTTGTATTCAAATTCAATTCAAATTCAAAGTTTATTCAACACTCTTCATAAAAACATTTAAAACATACAAATACAGAATGGAGTTATAAATATTAAAAAACACAAAAAGGTGATAACAAATACAATGGCAATTTATAAGAGCATTTGGGATAGGCAGAAAGGAGGGAAGTTCCTTATATAAAAGCCTACCCCTAAAAACACACATACATGAAAACGAGAACAATAGAACAGAACAAAAAAACAAAGAACATATTAAAACTTACTATCATGCACGATCAGAGTATATAAGAAAAATGTCAAAAATTTGTCTATACTATTGATACTAATTATTATACTTGTTTAACAGAAATTGTTTATATTTAATTTTAAAAAGATTGAGAGTTTTGCATTTTTTTATTTCCTGAGGTATACTATTACTAATATTAAAAATTATGCATATCGATTACATTCAGAATTCCAAGTTTACAAAATAAAGGATTACAGTGAGCATAATATTGGGAATGGGTTATAATGCGTATTGCTTTCTTTTGAAGAATAAGTAACCTTAACATATCATTTTTATTAAAATTTGCCCATGCAACTATACAGTAATTAAAATATGGTGTTATTAATGTATGATACAACATTTTCAAAATATTTAAGGGATAAAAATGAACTTTATATAAAATACCAATATTTTTTGCTATTTTATTGCACACCACATTTATATGCTCATGCCACTTCAATTTATGATTAATTACAATACCTAAAAACTTAAGATTATCTACACGTTCAAAATTATGATCATTTACTCGTAAGTGCATGTTGTTAAAATCAATATTTCTATTTGTAAAAACCATAAACTTAGTTTTATCATAATTTAAAACCAATTTATTATGTATTAGATCGAATGAACAAATAGTTTGGAAATAAGCAGTGAAGAGATTTTCTAGAATCAAAGAAAATAAAGGAAATCTATTTCCTTCTTTTTTTCAATACTACAGGTCCGTTTACTCTCAAATTTAATCAGGGTCATTATAATGCCAAAGAGGTTCTTTCCATTGAAATTCCTCGAAATCGGAGAGGGTGCACAAATGAGGGGTATACATTTAAGTCCAAGTTTTCTATCGAAATTCATTTACAGTTATCATACATGTTGGTATAATCGCCTGTCTGATTATCAAGATATTTATGATTGGAAATTTGGGCCAAATTTTGCGTTTGCCAAACGGTTTTCATAACACTACAGTCTATTGGGGGAAACGAGTATGGAAACACCGGTCACTCAAAGATTTTTTTATTTTTGAGGCACTTCTTGATCATTTTGAAGCGCGATTTTTGAGGGCTTCAATATTTTACCATATCACAGACACTGGTAGCACGCAAGGCCATGCATCTCAGATTTAACGTTGTAAAACGATGCCTTTGATATCCAATCTTTTTTACCATTCTTGTTCTTTCTTTTCGGATTACTAGCCCAAGCTCTAACTTCGACATTAACGTGAGACCCGGAGTCGCAACAAGCGATATTCTCAACGGACAATTCCGACCACAGGGCGATGTTGAACTGCAGTACCGGTTCGTGTTTTTGTTTGTTTTGATATTGTTGTTATTCATTTCGTTTAGTTCGTTATCAAAAACACAAGTTTGAATTAATGAGTATACCGTACTGAACAAGGAAACACAATACTGTCATTAATCATCTAAAGAGGATTTACCTCAGTATGTGCTGGGTCGTCGGGTCTCGATCTGAGACTGCAGTGGGCAGCGCCATGACAGTCAACTTAAAAAATGTGTGGTGGGTGGGTTCATGACTCAACTCGCTAACTGGTAAAGCGTTTATGACAAATTATTGCACGTAATTAGTATATTTTTGTTTTGCTATGTGTTGATTTTTGTACTATTTGTTTTCTTTTATTTCTGCCCCATAATGTATCACCACAAAGTAAACTAGGCTGCAAATATTATTTTCGTTTTATTTTTTTCATATCATGTGTCTGTAAGAATGTTTATTATGATACGCGTATGAGAGAAATATACTTTTAATAGCATCATTCCAGTTATGATAAGTAACAGTTACAAATAAGTTAATGGGAACATTTGCGTAAGAAGCAGCGCTTCTCATTAGCTATATCAATTTAATCACAGCTATGTAAATAATTTACCTCTAATTAGGCGTTTGGGTCACAAATTCGCCAGGCCCATGGGTGTGGGAGGGGGGGGGGGATAGGTAGGCTGTCCTCTATTGCTCAAATATTCACAATATCAATGCCTGTAGAGTGATTGTTGCTTGCCCAAATATTAGCTGACGTTTGCCTAAATATGACTAATTTGAAAGTCTCCAAACAGCAGCCTACTTTCGAATTGTACTCCTAAAGAACTTGTCTATAATTGCTAAAATTATAATAATGTTGCATTTGGAATAGTATATGAACAGATTCTTTAGCTCGTTAAATATATTTTGTGAAGTAATAATGTTGTACTTTTATATTGAATAATGGTATACAAACTCAATTCAAATTTCAGCCTGATTTGTGTTTCATAAAGAAAAAATTTGTCAAGAAATAATAATCTCCTCGTAATGAGTATGAACACTCAGGAACACAAACAGAACAACGTGATTGCTAAAGTTACTTTACGTATTATTTTAATGGAATTTGCAAATAGTGTACTGTTTTATTAAATTGAATGTTCTTTACGAATCTGCTCAAACTTCTTACAAATCTCTTCAATCCCCATCTCTCTCTCTCTCTCTGTCTCTCTCCCTCTCTCTCATCCCCATTTCTTTGTCCCTGTCGTTCTCTCCAATCTCTTTCTCTCTCTCCACCTCTCTCTCTCTCTCTTTTCTCTCTCCCTTTCTCTCTCTTAAACATTATCATCACTATACAGGCCGAATGATAACACCAGGTTGGGCGTTGGGGTCGGTGTTGGTCCAAATGGTGACCCACGCGCGAACGTCGGATTGAACATTCGGTAAGTTATTGGCTTTTCTAACCTCTCCTTTTTTGGTGGTACTAAGGCCTGTCTTAGCACCACCTAAAGTCCTGGACTATCTTTTGGCCCAACCCCTCTTTACCGCTCTTTAAGGGAACCATTATCGATATTTCTTTTTTTTACATTGGTAGATGGAAGAGGGGAAGGGGGTAGGGTGTGTACATCCCCACGAAATAATGTATACGTAATCTTTGTTATCATAATATGAGCTATGTATAGAGAAACACTGGAGAATTTTTTTTAATATGATTAAGAATAATAATAAAATTATGTTGTGTCAAACTTATTATTCATCTTTCATCACAACTCAAAACATTGATATAGTTTCCTTTGTCCCCCCTCCAAAAAAAAATAGCTTCAGGCGCAGCATCGAAAATGAGACCGTGCACAATATCGACATCAGCAGGAAACTCTTTGAAGTACTCGACCTCAACGGTGACGACCAGCTTGATGTTAAAGAATGGTTCGATGACGGTGGTAAAGTCAGACCATTTTCTGACATGATCGGTGATCACGACAATAACTGTAAGTGGAAGAAAGTATTCTCTCAATTTCAAGCGTGATGCACTTCTGACTCTCCAGTAGAAACATTTTTCGGGAGAGGGGCATTGACAGAGACAATTCGATCGATCGATCTATCTCGAGAGAGAGAGAGAGAGAGAGAAAGAGATAATTGAGACATGCATAGGGATATGGAGTGAAAGACGTGAAAATTCGCAGACGAAATAACACACCTCACCTGTATTTGTGCTCTTTAAAGTAATTTCGAATAAAGGGTTTGATTAAAATTATTGTTAACGGAATGTATAAGAGGTAATCATCTTCATCAGTTATACCATTTCTTTCTCACTTACTATTATCGCTCGCACCATTCACATGCTCTTTTCTTTTTACTCTTGTCCCTTGTTCAATCTTTCCTCGCCATGCATCCTCGCAGCTGATGAGATGATCTCGCTTGAAGAGTTCCTCGCCATTCCTGTCGATCCTGCTCTCATCGCGGCCATCGATCATATGATGAGGAGCGACCAAGACTGAAACCAGTGACGTCATAAAGGTCGATGCCGACCCCTTCCCTCGGTTGGAAATGCTCTAGACCGTCCTTATTTAGGGGCGGGAATTTCCTATCTATGCGTATTCAGTTTGTGCTTTGTCGTGCGTAGAAGGACAAGGGTGGGGCTTATGGGGTGGGCCGTAGAAATAATACCATGGCTATGGATGGGAAGAATTAAAGTAAGAGGTAATTCAAATGTGGGTTGCCAAATCAATGAAGAGAACAATAACTTCTTCTTGATGTCGTAACTGTATGACTTGTGTAGAAATTGGATATATCTTTTTCAGTCATACCATTTGAATGACTATTTTATTTTATTTTAGAGGGGAGATATGCGGGTCTAACCCTGAATTGCGGCCATGCATTTCCATGCTTTATACTTGCATTTTTTGATATATGGTAATGCAATATGACATTTTACATTTTAGACTTTTATAACAAGGAATTTCAAAAAAAAAATCATATCGAGATTAAGCCCAATCAGTTTTGAATTTGGTTTGTATTGTAACTCATGTAATTTCATTCACAGATTTGCACTTAATATAAGGTCATTATTGAAATGAATAAACTTTGGAATATCTTTTACGTACGCCATGAGTGTCTCTAATCATTCTGCATTAAGTAAAATCTGCTGTTACTACATTACTAGGAATGTGTGCATGTGTGTGTGTGTGCGTGTGTGTGTGTGAATGTATGTGTGTTTGCGCGCGTGTGCGTGGTTGTGAGAATGTATGTAATAAGTACGTGCTAACGGTTGGGTATTGTTTACTTTATCAAACAGACTGATTACCAATCACATTGATTACCAATCTCCCATTCAATGGAATAATGTTGCTAAACAAGCCATTATCTGCTTTCAGTTCTTTCATGAATTCAACTGGATATTTTCTTCTTAATGTGTGTGTGTGTGGGTGGGCATGTGTTTGAGAAAATGTAGGTTATGTATTTTTGAGAGTGGGTGTTGTTATCCCAATAAAACTAAATGACACAGATTCATCTTGTTTTTTGCATAGTGTGTGGGAAGGTATCTGGGTGAATGATTGTGCAGGTGTAAGTGTGCGTGGGTATGTGTGAATGGTGGGTCGATATTTTCCTTATAGTGTTTATAATGCTTATTAAACAAACATTGATCTATTTAGCTTTTTAGTTTGTGTGTTGGTGTGTGTATGATTGTGTGCGTATGCGTGGGTTATGTTCTTATCAAACAGACTGCTTATCAAACAAAATTTCATTGACTCAGCTTTTTAGCGTGTGTTTGTGTGTTTGTGTGCGTGATCTTATAGGTATGGGTGATGTTTAATCACACATTCGTTGAATCATCTCCTAGTAACATGAATGTGTATGTGTGTGTGTGTTTGGGGATCGTGGGTGTAAGGGTGTTAGCGGGTGTTAAATGTTCACTTTATCAAACAGACTTTCACATTGATTAGAAGTTTACCATTAAACGGCATAATATCAAATTCACACTTACATGTACATGTGGGCAACTTAACAGCCCCACTCCACTGCTTATAGCTACTTGCGCCCTCAATGCAAACAATGCATAATCAGTGACCATTGGTCCCCCATGATCCTCTTTTTCTTATGTTAATTGAGAACTGATGTGATGAGATAACCACCTGTCAGTGACCATGCTGGGAGGTCCAATCCCTCCTGGCCGAACTAGTGCCCGTGGGGCTTTAACATGTTGCTGATTCACTCTGCAGCTCACGTTCTGCATCTTTTCTTTTCCTTTCCTCACTATAATAACATACGCCATAAGTCACTGTGTTGCCATACAACTTATAAAACATATAATAACACGAACATGTTTACAGAGTAAACAATGGTTGGTTTATTGTATTCATATGTTAATGATTTATTTTGAGATATGTTTTTTGGTGCGGTGTAAGGATACAGCTTATCTTGGAAAATTATTTTTGTCATGTTTTAACGTACGCTATTATTAATTGTCATCATATTCGGCAAATGGAAAGAAGATAAAATCAAGTCAAAAACATAATATATTATATATCACACTATTACCAACATAAAAATATACAACTATTTACAGTATACGATTATTAAATAAGAACATACATGTTCATTTCTTAAAACCAATGTTGACCAAATATTCACTAGGGTGTGTAGATATAGCTTTATAAATCAATGAACGTTCATTGTTTAATGAGATCAAGTACATATCAGAAACAGCGGAACTTGTGATCGACAGTCTGCTGACGGCACCACTCGACCACTCGACCACGACACAATGAGACACTAATTGTAGGCATTACATTAATAAATGCGTTGCTAAAACGTTACAAAGCTTAACTTTGCCATAGGAAATGCAGGATATTAGGTTATCATACAATGTATACAAAATATAATACTAGAGACATACATTTATGCTTCAACCATGGGCCGCATATAGAAACATAAAGTCGAGCAATTTGGAGCGTACAACATGAGCGACGTCTTTTTTCATGTTCTAGCAAACAAATGCTTCCCCATGTCGAACGTTAGCTTGCTTTAATTAGATGGGAACTGCTTTCGTCATCTAGCATTTACTTGGTTTCTTGCTAGCTTGGCCCTTTATTGACTTTAAAGATCGGGCTTCTTTTACATAAAAAACATTTTTTAATATCATTTAAAGTCTATTCGTACTTTACTACAGTTACATTAGTAAAATCTAATCGCAAACTATTTTGCCATATTTATCAGCGTAACGTTCAGGTCAGAGGACTGTACGCACAACGTGGAATATTGTTCGAGATCCCCATATGTTTGTCTCCTTGTACATGATGAATGGTTAGGATTGGCAAAAGTTGTTGCTTTGGCTAATTGTTCTTACTTCTCTTACAAATGATTGATCGACATATATTTACAAAAGCAATTGAGAATCTTTGATGAATTGGCATCAAAAGGAGAATGTACATGTCAAACAAATATTGCCATTAATCGTGAATGATCGGCTTAAAATCGAGTCAAATTAATCTTTTCTTATCACTTACAACCTTTTTTGTCGTGTTCAATCACGTCAATATTGACGTTGACAAAGTTTGATTTTACCTGGTGGCAATTACAGGTGTCTGATTGTGGATGTATGGCACTCATTAACAAAAATGAGAGAAATTCTGAAATATTGAATGTATTGGACAAAGTTTAAAAGTATGAAATGACACATAGAAGACAAGTTTAGATATATACGAAACATGAAATATTTATTCTGATATATACTTATATTTGTTGATATATTTTTATTTCTCCGAACCTTTGATCAGCTAATTTGAACAGTATTTTTCGATGATCAAAATTAATATTTGATGAACATGTTTGGATCATTTTGATCGTAGCAATGGGAACACCAAAAAATGCGATTTAATTCCGTAAAGATTATTTTTTAGAAGAGAAAGTGTGATCGTGAAAAATAAGATCCCCGCTCTCAATTTGACTCTTACACATTTTATCTTATTAAAACAAAACTTTGTTTGTCCTTTTAGTTAAATATTTATGGTAAAGTTGACGGTCAGTGCTCCATAAATCACAGGTTACCTCATTCTGGGCTAAGACCTAGACAAAAATTAGTACGCTGTTATAAATAGCTTCCGTTATCAGGCAATGGACAACAAGGCTAGGGCTGTCAACTTGCACTCGTCAACAAAAGTCGTAAGAAAGCGCGGTTAGTTTTTGAAGCAAGAGATTGATCGAAAGCTTTCTCTGGCTGCACGTCGATAGGCTGCGTTGGTCCGAGCAAATATGAACGCATTGCTCCAGGAATTCACAAGCGTTAACATTGTCAGAAGAGCATCAGCAGTCTTTGACAGGGGGCTACTGATCGCAATGGTAAGGAATAATCGTACAATGGTGGGCACCCAGGAGATCAAATTCACTACGCTGATGAACAAGACAGTCTTGACCCCTTTGAGTTCGACTCTGCGATGTCCCGCGTCATTGTTGCCAGCTCCACGAGGCACTGCTAAGGCGGCGATAGCTCGGGCTTGCCGAGTAGCTATGGCCATGGATATTAAGTTCAACGTTATACCAGTAAATATGGGCACCATGGATAGGGAATAGAGCGTGGCAACGATTGCTTTTTCCGAAGAAGTATAATTTAAGCTCAATACAGTTCCATTTTGGCATACGGAGTCGTGATGAGATATCTTATACACGGGAGATCCTGGAATATAACCTAGGATCATAAATATTAAGGGGAAGCATGTTGCTAAAGCGAGGCAACATACGGTAGAACGAATGTTCACGATTGATGGATACCGTAGCGGTTTGCTTATCGCGATATATCTGTCGATATTGAGACACGATATTGTGATGGCAGATATTTGAAATCCAAAGTAAAATGTCCAGGACAGGAATCTGTACACTTGTGAGCGATGGCAGTCACTTTCCACAATGTAGAGAATGTAGCAACTGCATCCGGAGAGGCCCCCTATTAGATCTACCACTCCAATATAACAATAGAGGAATCGTGGGACTTCTTCAAAGACACTCCAATGTTTTAGAAGGATAACTAAAGAGCAGACATTTGTCGATATCACGAGAAATCCGATAAAAACAAAAACAAAGCACAGAAAAATATCGACACTAAGCATTGTTTGTGATTGTCAAGAGACGATATGTAAGCATGAAGACTTGAACATCACAAAGGGATCGACCAAAAGAGACATGTAATCCGCTGTATGTCCGCTGTTAAATTTTCATTCCTTCTCATTCAGCAACTACATAGACGAGTGATGAAGCCTTGGCTTTTACCAGCGACCAGACTTACTTTTCTTAGCGTGGCAATTATTGTGAATAGCACATATGACTGATTTGACAGTTCTTCGCTGATTATGATCAAATAATCTGACAGCTATAATGTCACGGATGTTATGTTTGACACCTGTATGCAAACCGAAATAGGTCGTTAAGGCCTCATAGTTATTAAATTGAGGCTTATAAAATCCTGGCTTTACTTACCCACGATATTACTAAAATAATGATTTCTCG